GAAGCATTACAATATGCTATTCATACAGAAAGTGTGATTAGAAAAAAGGAAAATGCACATGTGGGGTTGAGAACATCTGCTGTAACAAGTCATCTAGAGACAGCTAAGCAGTGGCTTTAAAGCAGCTTGGTAGTGTTCAGCAGGAAGGATGAGGAGGAATGGGGATGGAGACCAATGGGATGACAGTACTTAGGTCATGCCCCAGCCTCTGTCCTATTTCTTTTATTTTCTCACTGCTCAGACCCAGAGTCTTGTCAGCAAGGGAACACTGTGATTAATGGCATCAGCCAAAAATATGACATGGAGATAGATCACTCATAGCATGGTGCAGCTGGTGCCTGGGAAACAAGCTTACTAGACGTAACAAAAGTGGTGCACCAAACATAATGTGAAAGAGGGCAGTTTCTTGGGAATATTCTCACTTTTATTTCTAAGTCATATATTTTGGGACCTTCAATCTACTTTATATGATATGCAGTGATAGCTGCTCGATTTTGTAGTTTTTCCATCCACAGTGAACTGTCAAGACAGTGGGAGAAATAATGACTAATGTACCCAGTTGCAGAGAGATCATGATTACTTTGGATATTGTTATTTATTACTTGTTTTAGGCTTTTATTTATCTTTGTTAATGATGGAATAGTGTCCATTTTCCAGCAACTTTCACATGTAGAGTTTGAGGCTCCCCCATCCAGCTTTTTCAGCATTCTCATGGTTGAGTAATCCTGACAATGGGGCCACCATATATTTGTATGGCAATGTGTATTTTTCCAAGGCTCACTTATTTGTGTTACTTTATTTAATCCCCACAAACTTCCAGTGGGCAGATACACAGGTGGCATAATCCTAATTTAAAAATTTGGATCACTCGGAATAATGAGATTTACTTTTTTGCTTGAGATCATGCAGCTGGTTCCTAACGTGAAATGACTAGATCATACCTTTCTCCTTCAAGCTCTTCCAGAAACAGTACTGAGGCATTGGGGCTCATGGGGATTCTGATTGGTACACTCCACTCAGAGTCTGTTGATGAACCGATAACCCTCTAATCTGGGTCTCCAGCCATGATTTTACAAGCTCCAAACTCACTGCCCCTGTTTACCTGGCTTATCCACACACAGAGGTCTGACCAGCAGATGAGCTCAATTGAATTCATCAGTTTTCTGGCCCCTCCCAGATCTTGTGGTCTTGAGTTCCTTATTCTAGTGAATGTCACAACCAAACTCTCAGTTGCCTTATTTCTGCAGCACCTGCCACTGTCCAGGGCTGCGCCCTATCTTCACCAACAATCCTCTAACCAGTGTCCCTGTCACTACTCTGAACTCCCCTCCTCCGCACACATGCTCCATCACATTCACAGGTGATGGGCTTTCGGAAATGCAAATCCAATATGTCTCTTCCCCGAGACTTTCAATGGATTCTCTTTGTATTTAAGATAAAATCTAAAATTCTTAACATAGTTTACAAGGCCTTACAGAATCTGGCCCTATGTTTCCACCTTCCCTCACCGCTCCCTCTTTCTCAGTGTATATGGAATATTTTCCGGCTTCCCAGAGTATGCCCTGTTCTTTTTGCCTCCAGACCTCTGTACCAGCTGCTTTCTTTTGGCCTCTGGGACGCCTGCTCTGCCACAGCGCCCTCTGCTGTGCTCTGGGTATCCATCCACTTCCCTCCCTAGACTGTTGTCTGGAGCGCCGAGGCAGGCCATCTCGTTTGCCGTTGTATCTTGTGTTGTCCCTATGTTAAGTACAGTGTATGAATCAGCTGGGTGAACACGACATTTTTGTTGAATGCATAAACACATGTTTCTAGGTTTCCAGTGTTCTTTTCACTGAGATAGTTCCCCAACAATGTACTCAATATTCTCTGGTTGATTTTAGTATTAAATGTTTAGTTCTTCCTTCTCTAAGATGTCTATACTCTGTAATTGTCCATAAAATTTCTCTTTTTCCTCTGGATCATGCTTTACTGATTAAATCTGGTGACTTTTTAGATGAACTTAACAGATATCCATAACAAACATTTATCAAGTAATTGCTATGTGCCAGATACTGTATTAAGTATTTTTCATGAATTTTCTACTTCCTTAAAACGATTCTGTAAGTTAAGTACTATTGTTGTCCCCATTTTATAGATGAGGAAACAGACAAAGAAAGATGAAATAATCTACCCAGTATCACAGCAAATAAGAGTTGGGTTTTGAACTCAGTACAAGTCATACAATTAAAGTCCATTCAGCGTATGAAAAACTGAGCTATAATTTCTGTTTATAGAAATGCCTGTGTTCTTGTGAGTTTCATATAGGTAGTATCGATGAATTTATGGATTGAGCATAGGCTTTGAAGCTAGTGTTGTAGTTGTAAAAAAAGGAAACCCAATTTTGTCTGTGAGGAAGATTAGATGACATAATGAATGTAAAATAGCGAACATAGGGACTGGTACATTGTTGACTCCTGGAAAATGCTAACTGCTCATTTAGAAGTTCTCACTCTTCCACTAGCTCGGCTCACTGAACTTGAGAACTTAAGTAGTTCCAGTGGGGTGGGAGTTTGCTGAAGAGAAAGTTGGATTTTTCAGTCTAAATAAATTCTTATAAGAAAACTGGAATGGCTAAGAAAAAGTGGACTTTGGATTTAGCTTGGACTATATACACTTGTATGAAGTTCATTCTAGCTTACTTTATGATTATGTTCCATACATATCTGTAAGCCAACATAGAGACCTAGAAGAGTGGCTATTTTCAACACTTCAAAAGTGCTGATTACATACTGGCCCATGATAAAGGTACATAGGACCATCTTAAGATGTTAAGTTTATTAGCTCTTGGCTCTATGTTATTTCATGTCTTTGAATTTTAAAAATAGCAAATTAGTTACTACATAGGGAATGAATTTTGATAGATAAAATATTAGAAAATGTGAAATCTGCAGTGGAGAAATAATTTATTGAAAAGACCCTGATGTGGGAAAATTTTTGAAGCACTATCTTATATCCCAAATAAGGTAAAATATTTTGTTATTATTACATCTTTTCCTGCTGTATATTGTAAGACCTTTGGTTTTTAAGGATTTGCCCTCTGCTGCAAATATGTAACTTATCAAAGAAGGGGAGAAATAATGTTTTGGAGTTTAATTGTTAATGCTGATTTCTATGAGGAGTCCTTTAGGAGGTTTCACCAAAGTTACTAAAACCATGCTATCATGATATTTTTTAGTTATAAAGTTCATGAGCAATAAACAGGCAAAAAACAAAAAACCTTTAAAAAAGTAGTATGTGGAATATGGTGTATAAAATGGAAGTAATTTAAGTTGAAGTATTGTCCAGTGTCTCCAGAGAGGCCCTATTTACTATAGGAATTTAGTATGTATTGATAGACCTGTTTAGTAGCTATTATAACTGAAGGCATTATTTCACTTTATCTCATTTGGTCCTCAACAACAATCCTAATAGATACGTTCTCCTATCCTCATTTTTCCTGTGAGGAAACTGAAGTTCAGGAAGGTTAAGTTACTTATCCGGAGTCACATAACTAATAAGTGGTGGAATTGGAAAACGAATACAGGCCTTTCGATTTCCAAAGCCCCGTTTCCTGTCATAGGATATGTAGGACATGATAAAGGAGAAATCACAAGCCTACATGAAGGAATCTTTGAGCTATTCAGGGTGGGATTATTGGTTAACACTTTAAAGAAAATTTAGTTTGGATTATTAACCACATTTTATGTAACAAAATTAATTTCAGATGGGTTAGAGGGTTAAATTTAAAAAACAAAACAAAGTTGTAGAAAAATTAGAGGGTGGATCTGAATACATACCAAATTTCTGAGGCAGAATTTCCAGAAGCAGAATTTCTCTAAAATTTATAGTAGTAGATGAAATCACGAAATAAAAGTATGTACAACTATAGCATAGAAAAATTAGAGGTAGATCTGAATACTTACCAAATTTCTGAAGCAGAATTTCCTGAGGCAGAATTTCTCTAAATTTTATAGCAGCAGATGAAATCACAAAATAAAAGTATAGCATATAAAAATTTAAAAATTTTTGCATGTCAGAAGTATAGGTAAATTGGCAGAAATTAAGAAACTAGAATACTTAGTGGTGGCAAGGAAGCTGTCGTATATTGCTTGTGGTATGATAAACTAGTAAAGGCCCTCTGTGGGTTTAGCAAAAATATATAAGTCATAAAAATATCATTTCTGTAGTAATTCTGCTTCTGGGAATCTTTTGTAGTGGATAATCTAAGCTGTCAAAAATGCTGTCTCCATGAAAATATTTTTGCAGTGTTTTTCATAAAACCAAAAATTAGGAAAAGAATAAAAAATGTCTAATGAGAGGATATGGCTAGTCAAACCCCTCACTAGGTTAAATGCTTTTTGTTCTATGTTTTTCTGTTGCTGTTGTTGTCTGAGACAGTCTCACTTTGTCACCCAGGCTGGAGTGCAGTGGTGCAGTCTTGGCTCACTGCAACCTCCACCTCCCAAGTTAAAGCGATTCTTGTGCCTTGTCCTCCCGAGTAGCTGCTCAGCCTCTTGAGTAGCTGGCATTTCTTTCATGTTCTATCACTCCCAGCTAATTTTTGTGTTTTTTATTTTAGTAAAGACAGGGTTTCACCATGTTGGACAGGCTAGTCTCGAACTCCTGACCTAAGCAGATCTGCCTACCTTGGCCTCCCAAAGTGCTGGGATTACAGGTGTGAGCCACCTTTCCTGGCCTAGGTGAAATGTTATACAACCATTATAAACAATGATCATAAAGTCTGCTTTCTAAGGTAAAACAGTGGGGATGATATTTTTCATCTTATTTATGTTTCTACTGAGGTTACAGTTGTAGAAAATAAGGTATGTTTCATAAAAGACTGAAACGAAATATCGTACGTTAAAACCTTAATCATCATTATATTAAGAGTTTTCTTTGCTTTATTTTCCAAGTTTTTGATAATATTGTTATTTTATTATTTACAAACTCCAAATATAAAGGACTTCTTATTTGACCCACAGGATGGGTTTCCAGATTTCCAAGATTCTGTGCAAACGCTCTTCCAGCAGGCTAGACCTAAGAGTGAAGAACTCACAGCCCTTAATTCACAGGTAACATAAACTACCAGTTACTATTTCATAATAGTAGTATCTGTAGGTAAATAAATAAGTAACTACTTCAACTAGCATCTGCTTTAAGTGTCTGAAGACTGACTTTTTATTTCTGGTTGTTTTTTAAAACGTCAGCTGAGCCACAGCTGTATCAACATGAGAGCAATAACATCTTGGTTTGATTCAGTTTGTGAAAGGAATCTGATATGGTGCTACTTGCTTATTCTTGTAGTTTTGCAGGAAGTGAGACAGATTCTCTACTCAAGAAAACTTAAACAGTTTGATGATTGGGAAAACCAGCTATGTTGACCATGGCTATGTGTAATACAACTCTGAGATAAAATAGTACTAGTTCTCAATAAAGTATTAATAGTCAACATTGTAATTATTGTTAACTCTTTTAAATTCATATTTATTGAAAAACTGTTAAATGAATATGTGGCTTCAGGTGCTTTTGCCATTAAATTATTTGTGTCTGTATACTGAAATTAATTTTAAAATTCTTTCTACAAACGTCATCTTTTAGAAAGCACTGTAAGCTTTTATTCCTGTTGAACAGCTTCTTTGTAATAACTTGCTTTTGGTCAAATTTAGTACTGCTAAGTTTTGTTTTTTCATGTTAGGGTGAAAAATACATTTGTTTTTTTTTGCCTCAGGTATGCTTATTTAAATTTTATCAACTAATTAGTAACAAGTTCAAATAAAATGCAGTGGTTACTCTTGATTTGGTTTATGTGCATTCAGGAAAATAGTGTAAGTGTTTATCATGTTCTGTGAATTAGTATATTTTATCTATTGATTTTTACGTTGTGAATCAGAGCTTTTTGTAAAAAAATTTATATAGCAGCTTTCTTGTCCTACTCTTTTATATAGCATGGTAGTGATTCATATCTGTGCATTTTGACTATTACCTCCTTGGCAAAATACCACAAATACACTGCTCTGAATATCACATGTAAGTAATCTAGAGCAGTGCATTGAAAAGGAACTTATAAAACACAGGCAAAGATAAATTTATATGTCAGTTGATTAATTGCATATTTAGAATATGCCTTTTTGTGATTGGTTGGGAAATTCTGCAGTTTCATTTCCTGATGAAGGTGAAGATGCTTATTGGCACTGGTTTTTTTTGCATAATTTACATTGTTTAATTTTAGTGGGAGGTGTGTTTGCCTTGTTCTTCTAGACAGCTGTTTTACACCTTCTCTCCCCCAAACATATTGTCATCATATCAGAGTCTATGTATTGCCAGATCCTAAAATAAAAATGCCAAGATTTCGCCCTAAGTGTTAGAAGTAGTTTATAGCAGATGTTGCTGTTGCTTTTAGGTTTCTTTTTAAAAAAATCCCTTAAAGGACTTAGTACCTTGGAAAACAAAGCTAAGGTTATGTTGCTTTTGAGCTGACATGGAATGCTCTTGGAAGGATTGAGAAGAAAGCTTTTATCTTTTGTACAACATCCAGCATTTTATATTTTAACATGATATAGACATCTATGCATGTTTATGGAATTTGTATACCACATGAAGTGTGAACTAATTTTAATGAATACTAAATATATTTGCTGGAGTCTGAAATTGGTATCTTTAAACCATTAAAAAATCTAGAATGTTTCAATTACTGGTTTTATTTTTGCTTTACTTACTAGCAGCCTGAGAAGGTGATGGCAAAGCAGATGGAGTTCCTTTGCAACCAAGCTGGCTACGAAAGACTGCAGCATGTCGAGAGGAGGTTGTCTACAGGGCTTTACAGGCAGAGCTCGGAAGAGCACAGTCCTAACGGCTTGACTTCTGATAACTCAGATGGACAAGGTACATGTTTTAGAATATTCTGCACCTTTAGGGCCACTACATGCACTTCAAAGAGAAACAGAAGAAAACAGCTGATTTTTAAATTATGGTATTTTGTAGAGATTATTTTATAGGTCCTCTTATCAAAATTAAATTCTCCATGTTCTAAATAGGAAATAATTTATTTTGCAAATTTTAATTTGTAAATTTTTGAAACTTTATGATTTCTAAACATTAGTTGGCACATGAGATTGACATGTATTCTTTTGTAAGGAGTTGGTGGGAATGTGAGAATGACCACAGCACAGACTATTTTCTCCAAAGAAGCAGATTCCAGGAGAGATGTTTATCCTTTTTAAATGACCCAAACTTCATATTTTTTAGACTTTGAGAACAAGTTTGTGAAATTTTCAACATTGGGTTTTTAAGAGAATATGGTAACTGCTTCCAAAGTGTTATGACAGAGTACAGCTCAGGTTTAGAAAGCCATGGGATTCGTGAGTATTTTTACCATTCTAAAAAGTACTTCATTCTTTTCACATCCTCACATAAAGAAAACCCCAAGTCATTGTTATTTCACTCATTCAACAGGCATTTTTTTTTTTTTTTTAGTATTTTCTATGTGCCAGGCACTGACGATGGGACAGGGAACAAGTCCCTGTTTACTTGGAGCTTACACTCTAGTGGAGGGAGATGTATAGGTTATAAGTATATCCTGTAGTTTCAAATAGTAATAAATGTGTGAAGAAAAAAATAATTTTGTAGTGCCTAGTTTTTATATGTTATTGTTATACTTTTCTAGAGAGTGGTTATTATTGACAAAGAAAAAATTGCATTTGTAAGTAAGAATACCATCTTAAGTATTCTCCAGCCATGGAGTAAAATATTACGTGTCTCAACAGATCAGAGTACTGGAAGAGAAGAAAGTTCTTCCTTTTAAAAATATTATAGGAACCTTTGAGTTGAGGTCTTGTTTAACTTCTCCAATTATTCTTAACCGTTAAGAAGCAAAGGCAATTATTAAAGATTTTATGACTCTAATTTGTGACACCAGGATAATTCAGTGTGGGGAGACAATTTGCTAATATGATGCATTTCGGTACGTGACAACATGATTGGGTATCTAATTTTTCCCCATATTTGTGCTAAATCTGTTTTCTCATGGATTTTGCTGTATTTTTTTTTAATAATCTGTAATTGGCTTGAAGCCTTCTCTGTCTAGTACTTGTTATTATGTGATTAATGACATGCCGTGGCAGAATGGTGGCACTAGTAAGAAAATGCCTCATGGAGGAAGTGTATTATACGCCAAAACTGGAATGCTCACTGGAATTCTCAGTCTTTTGTTTAGCTCTTAAAACTATCCTGGCAGAATTGTAAACCTTGGGATTAGTATGAAATGACTTGCCATTTTCCTCTTAAATTATTATTTAAAATGTTTTTTCCGACTGTTACTTAAATTCTTCAGTGTCCACTGACTTCCCTCACTTTTTTCCTAAGGAGTGTTTAGGCAATTTTTGAAAACTTATTTTTAAGAAAATCCGTGATGTATTTTTGATATTATGCATATTTCTTTTTTTGTTTTTTTGTTTTTCATTAGGAGAAAGACCTTTGAATCTCCGCATGTCTAATTTACAGAACAGACAACCCCATCATTTTGTGGTGGACGGGGAGCTAAGCAGACTTTACCCCAGTGAGGGAAAGTCCCACTCATCAGGTGAGAATGAGCTATATGATGAGAGGGGTAACACTTGAATAAAAGCATCTTCAAATTCTGTTCTCCTGTTCCCAATGTCCCTCCCCCACCAAAAAAATGTTATTACTGACAGTGTTCCTACAGATTGAGTATCCCTATTTGGAAAATTTGAAATGGTCCCAGGCATTTTGGATAAGGGATGCTCACTTGTCAGTTTTTCTCCCCTTGGAAGTAATAATTGCCATAACACTGGCTGCTCTTGCTAGTCTTTTTGCAAACTTAGTATTCTGAACAATGAAGAGAAAACTCATGAAAGTTGAGATTACTTTCACTAGCCATTATATGAATGGTGACATTTATACGAAAGTTTTATAATAAATAGCTGGTTTAAGTTGTGTTACTAATATGAAATTGATGGACTACATGTTTGCTTTGACACAGAGAAAACCTTGTGTATCAAAATCTAAACTTTTCATGCAGATGCATTTTGGAGGTGATACTCATATTTCAGAAGTAAACCGAATTCCATAAAAGGATGAGCAGTTCCTTATCATAGTTAGATATTCACATATTTTTACCCAAGTGAAGTAAGTTAGACCTACTTAAAGCATTAGAGACCAGCACCATTTGAAAGAATCTGGTATCATTCAGTCTTCGAGTTAAAGTAACTTTAGGAGTCATTGATGAAGGTCACTGATTTTATAGATGAGGTAACTGAAGCCAAATAAATAGCTCCAAATTTGCATTGTAAGTCAGTGAGAAATGTACTTTTACAAGCATTAGGATTAAACCTGACTTTACATCTGTTATCTAGATAAAATGAATTATATATTTACTAGAAAAAAATGTTATCAAGAGCCTTTATGTCTTTCAGTTTCAGATCATGCTGTTAGTAGCAGATGCTAAAAAGGCAAGTCCTAAATGTTCTGGTGCTGTGACTTTAGCATGCGATTGCATACTTGATTGTAGCCAGCTTAATATTGTCAAAGGGAGGTTGAGAAATTGAAACTATCCTAAAAAGATGACATCCTGGCCTGTTTTCCACAACACAAAAAGTGACCTATTATTTAAAGTTTTTTAAAAAAACGAACAAAATCCCACTTTTGACTAATTTGTATTTCTTTGAAGACTCTATACAACAGGAATACTCCAGTCACATTGATCATGTATCTCATCATGGAGCACATTTACATTTTACATAGAGATATAATTGAGCTAGGGTTTTATGTAGAACCGAGTGAAGAAATGCCTGAAAAAGCCTTTTTTTAAATTTTTAAATGAATAGAAATAATACAAGTTTCATATAGTGCAAGCCTGGGACTAGGTCTCAGCACCAATGCTTGACTGAGTGACCCTGACTGACTTACTTAAGTACCCTGTCCTTCAGTTGCTTCATCTGTAAAAGAGAAATAATTTCTACCTTATAGGATGGTTAGGAGGATTAAACAAGATAGTATACCTGTGTCGTACACTGTCTATTTCAGCCAGCAGGAATTCAGTAAATAGTAGCTACTATTTTTATTACTCTTATGCAGAATTTAAAATCCCCTTCTGTTTAGATAGAGAGGATTGATAAATTGAGCTATTTAATTTCAGATAAGCTATTAGTATCGATTACTTTCTAGAATCCTCTGAAGGTGTAAGTATATGTGTATGGACATTTGCCATGTATATGTGTGTGTACATATCTCCCAGTGTTTGTACTTTGTATAAAGGTTACATTTGATTATTATTCTGTAGTGTTTGTGTATGGTTGAAATAACTATACACATAGAACTCCATGGAATGACTTCTTATGAAAATAGAGTTCATTATTTTATCCCTAGTCTGCCACCTTAATATGTCATTGTCAAGAGAACTTTAAAAAATAAATCCAAGGTTATGAAGATATTTTTCAGTCTGATTACTTCATTGGTGATAAATATTTTAACCAATAACAGTTATATATGAATAATCAGTTTTCTTTTATATATTTATCATGTTGGATCAAGCATTAAATAAAAATTAATATGTTCTATATGTTAAATGTTTTATGTGTATTTCATTATTTAACTTTCATGCCACTTTATGTAGATACTATTCCCATTTTATAGATGAGGACACTAAGGCTTAGGGAGGTGTATAAGTTGCCCAAACATGTTTACAGCTAGTAATTGGCAGAGTTGAAATTTAAATCCAGAATCCAAGTTCTTAACAGCTCTATGAACAAAAATTTTATATGGAATTGCAGAATCATGAATACTTGATACTGTTTGGTATGGAGTGTGGAGGTTTGTTTTATAGCTTTGTTTCATTTTTGTAGTCCATTGATTTAAAATATCAACTCACTTTGTTTCCATTTTATGTAGAGAGCCTTGGGATTTTAAAAGACTACCCTCACTCAGCTTTTACCTTAGAAAAGAAAGTCATCAAAACAGAGCCTGAAGATTCAAGATAGCTGTGATTCTCTCACTGTTCTCTGGAAATGGCATCAGATTTAAGGATAATACTCCATCATAGAAATAAGCCTTAATAACCAGTGTTGCCTCATTCAGCTCAAACAGATTTCATAGCCAAAGCAAAAGGACTGGTACGGTAGTCTGCGGAAGCCAGGAAGATAAAACAACAGCCACAAAAGAGAAAAGAGTGTTACAATCTATAACAGTAATATTGATTCATTCACATTCCTGTGTTAAATCATTTTATATGGAAAGGCTTGCAAATCAATATTGTAAGCATTCATTATTTAAGAATGTACAATGTATTTGTGTAATTTATAGAAGTAAACTCTGGATGTTGAGACCTGTTTGGTCCAATAGATGTGGATACAGTTTATTTTACTTGAAATTTTGTTGTCTGCTTTGTGTGTTTAACGTAAATAAATGTCAACGTTTAGAATCTTTGCCTGCAATCGTGAAAAAGAAAGCTTAAGTGATGTAGTTATTGGCAAGATTGTAATGATTGTAGAAAAATAGAAAGCAAATACTCAATTTAAGCCAAGGAAAAGATTGTGGATTTAATATTTGATAAAACTGATTTTGTTTGACAGGAAATGTGTAGCATTCACTCATAAAATATCTGGTTATCAATGCACGTTTACACAATTAGTACTTGAGTGGAGGAAAGTTAAAAAGATGAGCAATAGAGTAGAAAATATCTCTTAAACTAGTTGACCTAGATTGTATTAAAAGCTACTTAAGATGTATCAAAGATAGGAAGCTATTACTTGGACAGAGAACTTGAAATTTCAGAATGTGTTAAATAGATTAAGACATAGTAAGTTAACCCTACATGTTATAAAGATGGTGACTGTTAACAAAAGCTATAATAGATTAAGTACTGTTTTATATACAGAAAGTTTTCTCTATGTAGAGTTCAGACTAGATGCTTTCACTAGGGAATGTCTGCCCACCCAGCCGTCAAAAGTGTGGACAGTCACTGCATCCACATTTGTAGGCATACTTCTATAAAAGTTTAGTTGACACCTATATTCATTATTTATTTTACGATTTCATTTTTCTACATTTTTGAAATTTGTGAATGCAGTTTTTTCTTAAAATTCATTTTAAATTGACAGTACGTTTTTAATTCTCCCAATTTAATTCATAGACTGTGTGCATATATAGGGGAGTGTGCTTACATGTTAATAATGTACTTGCATACTTAAGAGAATTTCACATTGGAATTCATAATGGTAAAAAAAACCAAATACACCTGACAATATATTTCTTTTCTGTTGGTTTAAGAGAAAGTATCTGACAGCTTTACCTACTTCCTATAGATTCATCAAACCCAGATATTGCTGAGAAGAGTGTATTGACTTAGAGTATGTGTTTTTTTGTTTTTAGTTCTGCTCTAGTTCATAACTGTAAAAAATATTAAGTCATAATCTGTTACACTAAAATTCGTCAGCCAAATGTTAAATGAAGTGTCTGCACTGTAGTCTCAGATCACTGTCACATATATAAATTGCTTCTTCATTTTAATTTGTAGAAGAACTTTATAGTAAGAAACACCAGTAAACAACTTTTATACTGTTAAAAGGCTTTTTTCCCTTCCTAAATGTTTTAATTGTACCATAGTGTTTTGCTCACTGAAGAAGCTTCTTAGGGACCTTGCAACTTTGTTGCTAGCTTGAGGTTGATTATTGTGGTTGTATTGTTAACTGTGTGTAGAAATAGTATGAGTACAACTTAAATAGACTGGTCAGTTTTTAATATTAGCCATAGCACTGGTTAGTATCTCAGTAGTTTCATGAAACGTTTCCTGTATTCTAATCTATTTTGAAACATTTTGTTTGTTTTTTTTTAATTGTGTCTTACAGTCAAGTTTGTAGATTTTAATAAGCCACAATTTTAAAAGATGCAGTAATCTTCCAACTTCCAATATTTATCCATCCATTGTGGACCCACAAATTGCATCTTTAAATTCATAAGTTTCCTTAAGTATCATCTGTTTCCGGTCTTTCAAGTTTAGTGATAATGTGGAAGCACAAGAAAAATTTCAGTAGAATACAATTTTTATTTTGTAAACACTAATGTATTAAACTTGCTATACATTAAAGCAAATAATATATTTTTTATTTGAATTGTATATATGAATTGGATGTTATAACTAGTTGATTTTTTTTTTCATTTTGTTCGAGGTATTTTCACTGAACAAGGTCAATTGGTTACCTCAGTATTACAGCCAATATAGTCCAAGGGACCATTTCTCCCTGAGTCTCCTACACTTTATTGTGCGATGTCCACGTTTTTGTGACTCTTCAAGCTGTTGGTGAGGTGGGATGAGTGCACTTGCTTCTTGTGGCAATAAAGCTTTTCTGTGCCTCACACATTTACGTTTATAGCATTTTCTACATAGCAGTTTTCCACAGTGAGTAATATTAAGCCTCCCCTATCTGGTTATTTAAGCTAGGTTTCAGCATTAGGGGACAAGAACTTACGTCTTAAGTTGGGACTAAATATTGTCAGCCACCGTCATTTCTAAAAAGTCATTTGGTGAACAGGTTCTCAGTAGACTCTGGTCTGGGAGATAGAGGTCACTTTATATTCTCACTTATGAGACATTTTTAAAACTCCACCATTTCGAGCTGTATTAAAAGGAGAAATGTTAGGATTTAACATCTATAATACATTACATATTTGTAAAATATTAATGTGATTTGGCTTCAGTATTATGGACTAATTATATGAAATTGAGCTAACCTGTAGTAAAGAACCAGGATGAGCCTATCAACAGGTATTAATTGAGCTCTATAGATTAATGAAGATCATCAGTGTGCCAAGCACTGTGCTAGGTGCCAGGGAAGAGGTAAAGACCACAGACAAAATATATGATCCTTGCCCAAAATCTAGCTGGATGGGAACTAATACCACTCACATAAAAATAAAAATTTCAATGCCTTACATATTGGGATGAGGAGCTGACATTTAAGTGCATTCTGACATAGCCATTATGGCAACAGGCACTTTACATGTAAGAGAGCACATTGAGATATCAAAAAGAGAATTGGCCAGGACTGAAATCAACTTGCAGCATGAAATTTGATAAGCCATAGTGGTAGTACATTTCACTTTGAGGCTTTTTTTTTTTTCTTAACTGCAATTTTATTGTGAAACTGAATGGCAGATCTGTGCCTGGGTAATAATTCTTTTGACAATCCATTGAATCTGTCAAAAGGCAGCAGGGAAAGGTGCTTTTCATCTGCCCTTAATTAGTGAAACCACTTGGGTAAAAGCTTTAGGATTTGGTAATTATGAGGCTACTAGCACCTAGTGTACCTTTACAACTATAGTTGACACTATTTAAGACTTAAAGGCTAAATAAGTATGCAGGGAATTTCCTAACATATGGTCTACTCACTTGGCTACTCAAATGGTTATTATTGACACAATGCCCATTTTTCTTGTGACTTCATTTAATATACCACGTTGAGTCTTCAAAAGAAAACCAAGGTATTAACCAACCTCATGAAGCCAGAAGATCTGCCTCTTTTAGGAAATGAATTCAATTAGTAAGTAGCTGAAGTTAGAATTGAACAAACATTGTATGTTTGCAACAGCTTGAATGACCAAATATAGTAGTTGCTCTTTTACTAAAAGCCACCGTATGGTCCAGCTGTGTATGGGTGGTGTTTCAGGGAATGTAAGCTTATATCTGTGGGTGTCCTCATAAATGAAGTTGGTAAGTAGGCCTCCCAAGTTAATTAAAAAAAAGAAAAAGATCCAATGTCCTGACATTTATTTTTATTGTAAATACAATTTAATATCAGAAACCTTACTGTTAACTATGTCCATAGTGATCCTGTAAGATTTTTATTTCACGTAGAAGTGATTGAAAGCAAAATGCTTTTTCTTACCTTATGAGTATGCAACAGTTAAACCTTTAAAACATCTTTGGCATCTGTTTCTACTGACTTAGGACTTTTTTTTATCACCTCAAAGGTGTTTATTTTTTGTGCAGAAAAGCCTAATCAGAAATTTTTTTTAAGTTCATAATCAGCTTATTAAAGTTAGAATGCAAAAATGTATTGTGCTGAAGGTTAAGCTCGACTTACAAATCTTTACTTTCCAAGTTTAGCAAATCTTAATCACTGTTAAGGGAACTGTGAACTGATCCTGTTTACAAACTTGGTTAATTAAGTCTTATTCTTTTATAGTCTTCCCATCTGTTAGGTCACACAATTTCTTAAGTGTTAAAATGATGTCCTGTGGAATTCTAGGTCTCCCAGCTGTGTTTGACTATTTGGTCACAATTTCCAAATTGTTATTCTGACTGCTAAGTGATTTACTTTCAAAGTATTGCTCCAATAATGTTAAAGGTCTAGCCTCTACCACTTCATCTCCAAGGAATTTTTAATGAGGTTTTTTTTGTGTTTTTTGTTTTGCATTGGGGATAAAACCCTCAAGCAACATCAGAATCACACAAAATAGTAATCTTAGTTTTTATTTCAACATCCATATGAAATGCTTAGTTACCATTATTTCTCCATTTTATTCTTTTAAAAATATTTGACAAAAAGCTTAAAGTATACAGTGCGATGGTTTTTTATACAAGTACATCGTATACTGATTACCACAATCAGGTTAAAACACTTCAGTGGGAAATTGTCTCTCCTAATTTTTGTTGACTTAACATTTAGTGCACTTTAGTCAGTTATTATTAAATGTCTATATATCTGTCAGTAAAATGTTTAAAAATATTTCCTCTACACAGAGCATTATTCTACACTTATGTAAATTAGAAAACTACCTAAACAGTTTTAAGTTTCAGAAATTTCTATTGAAATTCTTGCTTTATTATACAGTCCTATTTAAGTTTTCCATTCTGATTAAAAGAATCGGCTCACTTCTTAACAATCTCTGAGAAGTAGTAATAGTTGAATGTTGCCATCCAAGCATAATGTTGCAAAATGTAGATTAAGCACATCACATTGGCTCAAGGTGGTAGTGCTACACATGTTAAAATCATGAACCCAACAATTTTTCTCATTTATTAAGAGTGACACATTTCTTGTGAATTTCCTGTGAGTCCAAACAATTTGGCAATCAGCCTAGCCTGGTTTTGCTGTGGGTGAGCACCAGTGATGGTATAAATTAGAATGTGCTTCATATGTACACATTCTGAAACCATATGAGTCATCTTTGCATTAAAAGTTTGCACCTCATAAATTTATGTTTAAAGTGCCATGTTCAACACCCACACATAATCCTAAGCTAGCACGGCCATTCTCTTGTAACTGTCACAGACACCCTATATTGGCAGTCACTTAGGCTGCAGTATGTAGGAAGATAAGTGGTGCACACGTAGGTGGAATCTTACTGGTAACTGTC